TGCTTCTATCAATACTTTGTGCAATTCATCATGAACAATAAATAATTTTTGTGGAATTAAATATAAACAGTTACATTATTTGTCGCTTCATTTTCTATCGGCCTTGGCCCTATTCCATTTTCAATTATCCCGGAATTAGCATCAACACATAGTATCAGCGCAACCGCATCTGCTGCAATGGGTCTAAACTGGCTTTGTAACTTTGTGGTGGCTTTCGTATTCCCGGTGTTCGCAGAAACATTGAAAAGTTGGACTTTTCTTGTTTTTGCAATAATTACGGGTGTTGGCTTTGCATTGACATTTATCTTTGTGCCAGAGGTAAGGAAATTATTTGAATTCCTAGCAAAAATTGATTTTTATAATTTTTTATTTTTAGACTAAGGGTCGTAGTATCGAAGCAATACATCGAGAAATTCGAGGAAGCAAAGTAGTCTTGGATAATGGCAGTGACGTTTCAACTACCGTCTGAGTGAGGAACTTATCACTTTAGATGTTATCAAATTAAATTTTAATGAATTAGTAAAGGCGGTATAATACAATAAATATCAAGAATTATAAACAGGAGTTCAAGGGATTTCTAGGTTCCAAAGGTACTACATTTGAATTTGAAAACTAATTTTCGTTTTCATTGGCTATGTACGTAATGGGTCTTCATTCTAAAATTAGACTATAATCGCCAAATGAATCAGGAGTTCATTTACATGTAAAATGCGTTTACCGTTACCAAGTACATGTACATGTATAATTATAATAGTCACATGACTGATTCATTTTGGACACATTCCTATGATAAATAACCAGAAATCTAAACTTTCATAATTTCTTATCGTTATTGCTAAAACACTAATGCATGTATCCGCTTTCACACGATACAAGAATAACGACAGCTTTACAAGATTACCATTATCGTTTATTGCTCTCTCAGTTTACCCACCTATGAGTAACCAGTCAATTTCTAGTAAAAATGTCTGGTCTGCACACATATATCTTAAAACCATTCAACAAAAATTGGTGCTGCTAATATAAATCATTGCTGTTAACGTTAATACAAAAGATCAGTTATTTCGGAATCCGGATTGACATATGTTATTTCAGAATTTGAGATTGATATGTATTGTTTTATTTTAAGTTTTCCCAATTCTCAATATTATTATATAATTGTATATAGCATTTATGCATTAGATTTCATAATTATTGTAATTTTTTACAAATAATACAAATTTTTATTTTAGCATGTAATATCTTGACATTCAGCAATCCAATTCGAACAATTATACAGGCAAATCCCTTTATAGTCACCACCCTCAGAAAAGCAAAATTTGGTGATTATAGAGAGGATGTGACTATAGAGTGAGTTTTTTTTTTACTATGTTTATATGTAAATGGGAAAGCAAAATAGAGTAACTATAGAGGGATGTGACTATAAATGGATGTGACTATAAAGAGTTTGGCTGTACTATCATTTGATTTATCTAGTCAAAATTTAATGATGATATATTTGTTCAAATTGGATTGCTGAATGTTGAGATATCATATCACAAAGTTATCAAATAACAATTTTTGATAAAAATCAATTTTATTAATAATTAAATTGCCAATGAATTAATTCTCCAAATTTTTATAATAATAAAAGAATAAAATAATAAAATAAAAGACTGTGTATTTTGGTATTTATAGACTATATTATATAACAAGATCAGAATTAATAATATATTTAAAATAAAAAAATATTCTTTACTTTATTTTTGTATAGTTTAGAGAGAGATGGATTACTTACTTATAACTGACACTATAATGGATCAAACATAATATTTGAACATGTATACTTGTATTACTATTGCATTTTTTTAATTCCTTTAATTTATATCAATTAATATTAATATATTTAATAGGTTTAATTTGTATTAATATTATAGTATTAATTTTTTTTTATTTTATTAAACTAAGAAAATATATCCATAAAAAATTAGAATAGCTGAAATAATTTTTTTTTATTAATTATATCAAAATAAATAAATATTTATAATAAAAATTTAAAAAAATTAATATAAAAAAAATAAAAAATTTGTTCAAAATTTTTTTTGAAAATTATCATCAAAATTGAAATATTTATTTTTGAATATTTCAATTATCCAAAAAATAAACCATATATAATAATACAAAAAATCTATAATAATAATTTATTTATTTATCTATTTATTTTTCTTCTTTATTTTTATTTTTTTATATTTAGTAAGTTAAAATTTTATAATAAAACAAATATCTTTTAATACTTAAATTTTTATTTCTTACTTTTAATTATATATTTTAAAGCTTATATATAAGTAGTTTTAGATTATTAAAATATTATTATTAAAATTATTAATTTAATATTTTGTTATTGATTAATTATTTAATGTTTTTATTATTTTGAATTATCAAATTTTATTAAATATATAATATTATTTTATAAAAAAAATAAAAAAGTTTTGTTATTTTTTTATAATATTATATTTTTAGCTTTAAAATATATAATACTAATACAAAAAATCAGAAACTTATTTATTTAAAATATTATTTATTTTATATATTTTTATTAGAACTATATAATTTTAGTAAAGATTAATATAAAATTTAGATATCTTTTATTTATTATTTTATTTTATTATTTAATTTAATTTTCTTTATTAACTCATATTTATACTTATTAAATTATTTTACAATTAATAAAATATATAATAATATTTTATTTTCTATATATCTAAAACTAAAAATAATAATATTATTAAAATAATAGACTTTTTAATTTTTTTATAAGTAAAAATATTATATTTTTAATAAGTAAAAAATCTCAATAATTTAATTATAACAAAATATTAAAATTATTAATTAATATTTATTTAATAATTTTAATAATAATATTTAAATAAGTTTAATATAATTTAAAATTACTTGTATACAATTTTTAAAATATATAATTAAAAATAAGAGATAAAATATTAAAAATTTAAAAGATATTTGTTTTATTATTTTATTTTCAAGTTTTAATATATTAAGTTAAAGTTTAATTATTATTTATATAGTTAAATCTCTCTATAATCATATTCATTTATAGTTATAATTAATATATATTTATTTATAATAAATAGAATTTAAACTATTATTATTAATAAAATTTTCAAATAAATTTATTTAAAATATAAATTAAATAAAAATTATATAAAAATTATATTTAATTTAATATAATTAATAAAATTTAATAAGTTAATTTATAAATATTTTTTAAATTATATTAATTAATATATATTTATTTATAATAAATAGAATTTAAACTATTGTTATTAATAAAATTTTCAAATAAATTTATTTAAAATATAAATTAAATAAAAATTATATAAAAATTATATTTAATTTTAATATAATTAATAAAATTTAATAAGTTAATTTATAAATATTTTTTGAAAATTATATTAATTAATATTATTACTATTTTATATGAGTTCTTGAAAGAGTTAGTAAATACTTAATAATGTTATAATAAGTTATTTGACCAGAATAATTATGGTAAAATTTATTAAGAATGATGGGTGAGAGAGTATAATATAATCAAATCTATATAATACATCAAGCATTAAACTATGATTATAAATGAATTTAAAAAAAGATAATAGTATATTCATAACATAATCAGCTAGAATAAGATTTGGAATTTTTAATAATAGTATTTAATTAAAAAATTTTATGTAATAAATATGTAATTTTATTATAAGCTCATAATTCAATAATAATAAAGTATAATTTTATTATTAGGTGAATTTATTATTAATTTATTACATGTTTTTAATTATTATTTATTATTCTTGAGATTCTGAGAGCTATTGAATCTAAAGTTATAGAATCAATCTAAGATACATAGTATATTTATATAAATTATATGTTATATAATATAACTGGTTCTATTGTTATTATTACTAATTTAATTAAACACAAGTGTTGCTGGTGTTGCTGGTACTAACATAAATCTAAGAATTAATAATATCTAACATATAATTATTCAATAAAATAATAACTATCTAAAAATAACTATCCAATAAAATATAATAGAATATTATCCAATTAAATTTATGATATGAATTAATTAATAAAATAAGAACTAAATATTCATATTATAATAATACTATAAAATTTTTACTAAAATCAGATAAAATTTTATTAGTGGATAATTCTTTAAATAATATTTTTTATAAAAAATTTTTTCTATTTTTTTCTTATATTTAAATAAAAAATCTCTTAAAATTTTAATAAAATTTTATAATAAATATAAATTTATATTGTAAATAGGTTTACTTAATATATAAATCAAATTTGTAATATTTAAATTAAATTATTGGAATAATAAAAAAATAAATCATTAATATATATATATATATTATTTATATATAAATACTATATTTATATATTTATATATTTGTAAAGTTATAATTCAAATATAATTAAATTTCTCTATAATTACTACTTTCAAAAAAAGCAAAATTTAATAACTATAAAGTGATTTTTTTTACTATATTTATATATAAATAGAAAAGCAAAATAGAGTGATTATAAAAAGATGTGATTATAAATAAATATGATTATAAAGAGATTTAATTATAAATAAAACTTACAAAATTTATAAAAAAATAATTTTTATTATATATAATAAGTATTATAATTTAAATAATTATATAATTCAAATTATTGTTAAATATTTTAATATAAATACAAAGAAATTTTTTTATATATTATTTATTTTCTTATTAATATATAGTATAATATATTTTTTTATTAGCTTTTTTAAATAAGATTATATTTAAAATTGGTACTAAAATAAGTCTATTTTTAAATTTTTAAATACTTTTTGATGTTTAATTATATATTATTTTTGCAAATTATTATAAATAATTTTTTTATTTATTTTTTTAAATTATCTAATTGATCAAAAACTTTTATATCTAAAATTATCTAGAATAAGTATATAAATTTTAAGAAATTTATATTACTAATTTATTCTGAGAATTATTTTTTGTTGTTATAATTAGATTTCTAATAAATATAATATTATAATATAATATTTAATCAATATTTAATGATAGTTTTTTATAGTTATTTAATCTTATTATAATTTGTTTATTATATAGTATATTTTTTTATTATTAAATAAACTTTTATTATTACTAATAAATATTATATTTATTTAGTGTGAAGCAATTTTAATATTCTTTAACAACTTGATAATTATTTAATAGTATATAATAAATATAATTATAATAATATAATTTAATTAATTAATCAAGTAATTAAAGTTATTTTATTTAAATTATTAGTTGAATTAATTGCAATAACTTATTATATTGAATCTAATTGATTACAATTTGCTTTTTTACAATTACAAGACCAACTATATTTATATCTAAATATTTTTTATTAATAAATATTATATTTATATATATT